GCGGGGGGGAAGAAAGTACCGAGCCCAAGGGGAGATACGCGTAAGTAGTGCAGATACCCCCCCCCCCCCTCCAGCCGCGTGGCTAATTGCTTTTCGGCTGGAGCGGGCAAGGCAAAAGTCGTGTGGCGTTGTTGTCTTGTGTTACCTTACTTTCGCCGATTTTTGCTATATGGCAGCCAATACGCTGCTGAATTTGTTCCGCTCTGTGTTTCTCTTCTGTACCACCCAATTAAATAGTAAACTAATGGAAATGTTGTGTGATGCGTGCTTCGCTTGTGCGGTAGGTCTGTTTTTTTTTTTTATGTCAAGTCCCGGTGTCTCATTTTATCGAAGCAGTCGGTCTTGCTGTTCTTATGTTTGTCTGATTTTGGCAGCATGATCTTCTCTCGCATGTCGTCTCTTTTTGTACGCTCGTTCATGTTCCTTTTTGTGTTGTACCGCATGCGTCTCGCCTGCTACATACTGCGCCGCCCGCAGTGCTTGCGGAACTTTCTCTGCGCGAGCGCGAACTCTCCCCCACCCCGGCTTGAGATCCAGTGGGCCGGGTCCCAGGGGGGGCACTGTCATAGCCTGGACGAAATGCAGATGGATGAGCTGTTCGGCAGACATCCCGATGACCCGGACGTGAGACACGTTGATTTTGTTTGTGTGTGTGTTTTTCTTGCATGACTTATAACATAGCACAACAAATCCATACGTCTCCACTGATAAGGGTCTGGAATTTAGCTTGGTTGTAACCTGTCATTTAGTTTTTTTGTTTCAGGGGTCAGAACCTTGCGATTTTTTTTGTTTGTGTGTGTCTGCCGAGAAGAGCTTAACTAAGGGCGAGGTTTGGTCGGCGGGTGCTCACACATGCATATGCATGTCAACCATGCTGGATCGGTCTCGCTTTTATGGCGTGACCCGTGCATCTCGCATATAGACTGCAACAAGCAGTAGTCCACGGGGTATTGTACGCGTGTGTGCATGTTTCCAAACGGAACAATTGTGCTGGGGTGTTGCCCGGCCATTGTTGATTTCGAGCGGAGGAGTTGATGGTTGGTGCTGTTTCGCAGGAGCGGAAACTGATACCCGCCCCGTTGCCATGGTTGTTATTGGGCGGGAAGATTCGCCGTTTGGTATCCCATGGTTGGAGGGGAAAAGGAGTTGGGAAGATTCCTGCGGGGGAAATGATTGATGAAAGGGTCTCAATTCCCGTCAGGTCAAGGTACATTTCCGAAGACAGGGTACAGTTTTTGAGAAAAGTAGTCACGGCAGGTTGTGCCCTGCGCCCTTTCGGACGCACCGGGGTGAAATTGGGCGCTGACCAATCATATGAGTGCATTTACTGCTGTTAATGACTGTGTACCCAGGTGTGTCGCTTTTCGACCAGGGTATATATACCCTGTTGTGTCGTTTTCACTATGTTTTTCTTCTATGATTTCTACTCTCTCTACTGTCTTCGCACACTGAGGCCGCAACTTTATTATCCGGGTGTTAACTGCCCGCACCAACTGACATGGTACTCACGTTACTGCAACAACTCACGCGCGTAATTGCTTGGCCCCCCCACCCTTGATTTATTTCGCCGCATTTTTTTGTTTTTGTTGTTAGGATGTTGACGATGTAGAGGACGACGATGGCGCCAATTGCTTGGTTCCCCCACCCTTGATTTATTTCGCCGCATTTTTTTGTTTTTGTTGTTAGGATGTTGACGATGTAGAGGACGACGATGACGCCAATTGCTTGGTTCCCCCACCCTTGATTTATTTCGCCGCATTTTTTTGTTTTTGTTGTTAGGATGTTGACGATGTAGAGGACGACGATGACGCCAATTGCTTGGTTCCCCCACCCTTGATTTATTACGCCGCATTCCTTTGTTTTTGTTGTTAGGATGTTGACGATGTAGATGACGACGACGATAACGCCAATTGCTTGGTTCCCCCACCCTTGATTTATGTCGCCGCATTTTTTTTTTTTAGGATCTTGACGATGGAGATGACGACGACGATAACGCCAGCGAGAGCACTCCCGAGGGCTACGGTCACATCCACCGCGCTGTGCCTTCCCATAACGGCGGCGGTGGGATCGGTAGTGGCAACGGCGGCGGGTTCGGAGCCTCGATGGACCAGGCGGGACAGAGGTGGGGTCAGAAACAAAGAAGCGCACAGGGGGTGTACCCATAGCCGTGCATGCCGTTGTAGTCGTTGGACTATTTACACCATGTACCTCGCATCCCTACAAAGCCGGGAAGCCGGGGGGGGGGGTAGGCAGGGAGGGCAAGGTGGGGGGCGGGGGATATTTTGGTGGGGGGTAGTTAACGTTTTTTTTTCGGTCGCCCTGTAGCGCAACAGCTCTAATATGTGTTTGGTACCTTTCTGCTGTTTGGTCCCGGCTGACATGTTCAAGCCCATGCCGACAGAGATGTGTAGATTGACGCCACAACAATAGATGGGGCGAAACTAGAAAAAAAACACAACACGCAGCACACTGGCGTCAAATGCCGTTTCAGTGACACGAGGTATCACACCCCGTGGACGAATGTTCAAAGCTCGACTTGGCCACAGCAGAAAGATTGGCGGTGCCGAAAGCGGCAAGCGTTAGGGCCGTCTTGTCGAATCGCGAGAGCTTTCCGAAAACGCATCGTTTCATTTACGCATCCTCTTCGTCGTGGAGTGTACTCGAGTTTCGATAATCGGTCCAGGGGGTGTAGTATCTTGCGTCATGGCACCTGCGGTCCACGTGGCGAAATATACTTGTATTGTATGTAGACTTGAGGCCGGTGAACCGAAAAAACACACAGCACGCAACAGGCATTCTTGCGCCCTCCCCTGCTTTGTCGTACCACTTCCCACCGCTTGTTGGCCTCTTGGTCCCTCATCATCTCTGACTCGATTTCCTCCCAGCATGGAGCTGGAGCCTCGATCGTTCAGCAGGGGGGCGGGCGGGCAGCGGGGGTACGAGCCAGCGGCGTGCGACATGCCCAACGAGGAGGTAGAGCGAATTTAACCGTTGGTTCGAGCCGTTGGGTGGTGGAAGAAAGCTGCCGTGTCGTCAAATCACAAAACGGTAGAGACTCTCCCAACAATTTTACGCCTTCGTGTAAATGAATCATGTGCGTTTCTGAGGGCATGCATGCGCAGCGGAGGAACTTTTCTATGTTTCTTTTGCTATGGTTTTGTATGCCTGGTATACTTTTGTCGGAGTAAAGCGAATGGTACTGCTGTGTTCTGCGGACCTCTTGCTGTGCAATACAGTGTACAAGAATTTGCGTAACCTCCAAGGCGCGTGTGACCCCGGCTGGGGAGTCGGCGTTTTTTTTTTTTGTCGTCCCATTTTTTTCTGGATGTCGTTCTATTTCCAGTAATGTTCTAAGGTATTTAGTGTGTGGTCGTCTCATCTATTCTGGCGCCGGTTTATTGTCCTTTCGGCGTATATACCATACCTGACGTATCAGCCGGTGTCACGCAGCGGAAGGTCACACAAAGGAGCTTTTTTCTTATATTTGGTTTGTTTTGTCGCCCCACCTTGCCCCCCTGCTTTGCCTGCCTTCGTTTTTGTCGCGAGAAGGGTTCAGCCCTCCCTTTGCCTCGTCTGTGCATGTATTATAAGAATGATTTCATGCTGAAACATTCTGGAACAATATTTACGAGAGTCAGGGATATCTCCCACCTGAAGGAAGATTTCATTCTGTACGCATGGTTAATAAGGTTTCATTCTGAAACAATCGTTCGGAAAAGTGAGGAAATCGTTTCAGAATATAATCTTACTTCACGTGAGAGTTATCATTAGGAACCGAACTGAAAAACATTAAACTCGTTAGGTGCTGACTAGTCTGGTCTAGTGGTTTGATGTGCGCTTCGAAAACAAGTCCTGGGATCTGAATGACTTTCACTCCGCTTTGTATGTGTATGTGTATGAAGCGGAGTGAAAGTTATTCGGGCCCGAGGACTTTAACCTTGTGCTTGAAGTTCACATCAAACCATTACACTAGACTGGTTGCGCCAGACGAGTCTATTTATTTCATTTCGGCTTCTAATGATACCTCTTGAGGTACGATTCCATTCTGAAACAATTTTTAGGATACTTGTATTCATAGTAATATTTCATTCCAACCATAATTCGGAACACTGAAGGTACCTCTCGCTTGTATTATGTTTTCATTCTGTTGGGACCTCTCGGCTTGCTGCTCTTTGTCCTCTTGTTGGTGCCGCTGTGTTGTGCGATGGCAGGACATCGCGTCTAGCGTGCCGATCGACATCACCTTCATGGACCCGTCCGCGATGCACTGGGGGAACGGGAGCGGGAACGGAAACACCAACGCGGGCGCTGGTGCTGCCGGTAAGCGTACAAGAAGTAGAGGCTGGATGTTGGTGGGTACTTGAGAGTATGTTGCTGTTGTTGTTGCTGTCTTGACGTGTTCAACGAAAGCAGCGTTCAACGAAAGCAGCAACATGGGCGCTGGTGCTGCCGGTAAACGTACAAGCAGTGTTACTGCTGTTGTTGTTATGTTAACGTTAAAACACCGTTCCGGTCTCCGTTTGGTACCTTGTGACACCCCGTATCTGGCTCGCACGCCTTCACGGTCACATGTGTGTCACACACACCACGAACACCAGTCAGACACAGCAGTCATAATGCGAGAGAGAGAGAGAGAGAGAGAGAGAGAGAGAGAGAGAGAGAGAGAGAGAGAGAGAGAGAACGGCAACCGGAGGTGCTGCCGCAGGTGGGCGAAACGCTGCCACTACTATCGCGCGTTAGACACACCTCCTGCACAACCGGTGCCTACCGCACGTGGCACCGTGAACCTATTACGGTGCTGAGTCCCCACAACCCGCCCGTAACTGTTCCGTTGTCCTGGTCCTACCGGTATGTGGCCACCACCTGACCATGACCATGCCGTCCTTCTTATCCCACGGGCATGACTATCGCGCAAATAACAGCGCTCGGCAGATCCGCCAGCTCGGAAGGTTGGGCCGGCGGGGCCGTCGAGCCCGTCAACGGTGGACATGCGGCGGGATTCAGCGGAGGCTCGAGCGGCATCGGCGCAGCGGGGGTCGGGACCGGGGGGACCGCGGAGGGCGGGGGAGGGGGGGGGGTGGGGTCGAGCGGGGGCAGCATGGGGGGCGGGACGCCCGCGGCGCTCGCGAAGCGGAAGGTCGGCCTGGACAGCTTCAAGATCGTGCGGGTGATCGGGAAGGGAAGCTTCGGGAAGGTGAAGTGTGTAGTGAAGGGTTCACGTTGGGTGTAACAACGCTTTGCTCTCTCTCTCTCTCTCTCTCTCTCTCGGTGTGCTAAGACTGGGATGGAAAAGGTGATGCGCAAGTCACCCCCTGCCAGTTGTGGGGGTAACGCTTGGCCTTGCCTCGCTGGTTATGATGGCAGTTTGGGGTTATGGTGTGGGACTAGTTTGTAGAAGCGCTTGCTCTCTGGGTTATCGGAAACAACGGCGAATCTCCGAAAAGTGACTACAATTTGACGTCTATTTTACGACGTATGCGGATGGCTAGATTTTTGTCGCCCACCCTTAAGTCGGTCCCTCTTGTTGTTGTTTGCGTTGTTGGCGATGCACACAATCTGACGCCGCCGAGTTTGCGTGTATAACATGGCGTGTCATGATCATGGCCTCCGTCTGAGGTACCATGTTTCTCTCGACTGTAAAAGTCACATACTTCTACGTAGTAACACGGGGTGGCATGATCATGAAGTGCATGTGAGATACTTCTCACGAGTTGACGCCACATAACCAATACCGTGACGTCATTTCAGGTGTTTCTGGTGAGAGAGAAGGTCGCCGGGGACATCTACGCCATGAAGGTTTTAAGGAAAGACAACGTCATCAAAAGAAATCAGGCGAGGCGGCAGTGATTCTGGAATTGCTTAGTAGTTGGCGCTGCTGAGTATTCGCAGTACGGTACGTGGAACATCCCAGTGGTGTTTGGTGAACCACGGTATCTGTCCGATCAGTACCGTGTGACGCGGATGATGCCCGTAGTGCTGCGGTAGTCAAGCTCCCTCCCTTCGCTCGCCGTTGCTCTGTACTCCCTATTGTTTTTGTGTTTGTGTTTGCTGTTGTTGTTGTTGTTGTTGCTGTTGTTGCGACTACAGCAGTTGGCGCCTGCACTCGTGAACCACTCCTTTTTGCCGAGACCCGTTTTTTTTCTCCATGGGGGATGATTCCCCCACAGCGAGTATATCAATTGAAGTGTAGACTTCTTGGATAAGCACGTGTTCTTTGGGCTAGTTGTACCTCTTCTGTTTTTTAGCCTAGGTTTCTCAACTCCTATGCACAACTTTTTTTTAATTCGAGCGCTAAAGCTGTAACAACCCCCAAGTGTGCGGAGACTGGAGTAGCTCATGCCCACAGCCAGCAAAAGGGGCATGCAAGGCTAACCCACGCGGAGACGAGAACGGAAGACAAAGTTACGCCGCACGTAACACGCAACGCTTCTTGGTTATGCCGCACGCCGTCTCCGACGTCTCCGACACAGGTGGAACACACCAAGACAGAAAGAAACGTCCTGGGATACGTTAAGCACCCTTTCATCGTGGGCCTCAACATGGCCTTCCAGACCCGGGACAAGCTCTTCTTCGTGCTGGACTACTGCGCGGGGGGCGAGCTTTTCTTCCACTTGGTGAGATACTGCTATACGTACGTAAGAAGCACACAGCCACGAAAGAAGGTTGACACTTGGTGAGATGCTGCTGTACGTACGTAAGCAGTACGTACGTAAGCAGCACACAAGCCACGGAAGAATGTCGACGAGAGGGTGTGAAGGAAACAGGTAAAAATAGATGCATTTTTGTCGTTGTTTTTTCTTGCACGAAGTAAAGGGGTAAAATATAGATGCATTTTTGTCGTTGTTTTTTCTTGTACGAAGGACCACTTCTTAATGTGTGCATACTCCTTTTTATTTGGGGGGGGGGGGGGCGAGGACACTTACGTTCATATGAGGACCAAGCACTTGAAGGTTCCCGCGGTGTAGCTTATGTAGCAGGGGAATGCGGGGTGTGGTGATGGTTGTGCCTGCTGGAGCACATGGAGGTGAGATTCCTCCGCCTGGATTAGTGCGCAAGGATGCTGTGTGTGCGTTCCAAGCGGGGATGTGCCGAAGCAGAGTGAAGTACGTTCTGACAAACGCAAACGCCTTAAATGGCGAGCGAGGGGAATGCTCTCACAACTTTTTCGCCCGCCTTGCCCCAACAAACACAGGACGTCCAGAGACAGCCGTCAGACAGAACGTTACAGCCCCTGCCGAGCTTTACGCCCACCGCACCCTTCGCAGCGTTCTTCAAGTAAACATGTTGAAAAAAACATGCAATCGGAGAAAGTTGGGTTATTTTCTGGAGGTCTGCGTACCCCCTTCCTGTTTGTTTTTTGTCCTCGCGCACTGTTCACTTGTCGGGAAGGCGGCTCGTACGTACGACGTCCAACTCCCCCCAATTATGTTGATGCAATGGTTGTTGTAACTGGTGCACACAGGGGAAGCACGGCAAGTTTCCCGAGCCAAGATCACGGTTCTATTCGGCGGAGATCGCGCTCGCTCTCCAACACGTGCACAGGCTGGACATCGTGTACCGAGACCTTAAGCCCGAGAATGTTCTGCTGGACGGAGAAGGTGGGTTTTTATTTTCTTGTGGGTGACGTGTGCATGTGTGTGACCGTCCCCATCTACTGTACGTCGTTCTGGCGCCAGTCTCATACACCTTGTTGCGGAAGTCGGTGTTTGTTTGTGCTGGGTTTTTCATACCTTGCCTTTTTGTTTTACATGATTAGCATCGACCGCGCTAAACGTGCGCATGGGTTTGTACGCTGTTCTGGCCCCAGTCTCACACACCTTGTTGCGGAAGTCGGTGTTTTTTGTTGTGTGCTGGGTTTTTTCATGCCTTCCACTGTCATGCGTCAGTCTGTGTCTGGTGTCGGCGTACCCTCATCTATCTGTCGTTGTCGTATCCCCCAACATCGCCAACCACCTGACCCCAGTCCGACTTGCGACTCGACAATCCTGACAATCCGTTTCCCTTGCGGTACATACATGCCTCCAACAGCAGTATTTGCCGGCCCCACCTTTTAAGACGTGACGTCCACTCACCGCCGTGTTTGGTCCTCAGGGCACATCCGATTGACAGACTTCGGATTAAGCAAGGAGGGTATCTCTAACACAACATCGGGGGCACATTCATTCTGCGGAACCCCTGAGTACCTCGCGCCGGAGATTCTGAACAGACAGGTGCGAACTGGTGCGGTTTGTCAGAAAGTAAAGTGACTGATCATGGACCGGCACGGTTTCGTGAAGAACAACCAAACAGCAACAACAATCATGGAAGTAAACGTTAAACATGTCGACACGCTAGCTTTGTCGAGCCTCTGCGTACCTGCGTAGCTGATACCAGTGTTTACTAAATAAGGGAGTCGCTCGCGTTGCCTAAACTCTTCTTGTGCACGGATACAGGAAATTGTGTGCGTGTCCTTCCCATCTATTCTGGCGCCAATCTAAAGTAGTACCTTCACAATTTCCGTGTTGCAAATATACCTAACGTGCGTCATCGGAAGTGTTTTTTTTTTGTTGTCGAATGCATGTATTTTGTGTGCACCGCCTTTGCTCCACAGCGGCGCCTACGTTACTTTTGTTTCGGTCAGAGATTTTTTTTATTATTACATTTTTTTTGTTTTGTGCTGTTGCCATCTCGTTTCGGGCGACGCCTCTCGCGTACCCGCGATGTCTGGCATGGAAGGGCACGTCATTTCTCCCGACATGGTTATTTTTTGTTTCGGGCAATACCTCTCGCGTGCATGCTCACCCTACCCGTACCTAATCCTAACTTCCTTTCGGGTAAAACGCCTCACACATACATGTCAACGTGTCGCAACCCTAACGCTAAACACTGCCGTCTGGACAGGGTCACGGTCGTGCGGTGGACTGGTGGTCCCTCGGAGCGCTGCTGTACGAGATGCTTACGGGCCTGCCGCCCTTCTATTGTCGAGACAGGTGAAACTCCGCCGGGGTATTACAGTAGTTGTGATGGGCCAGTCGCTAGATGTTTGCACATACCGCACCGTGCGCCCGTCGCACGGTACAATTCACCCATACGATACGGTTCGCCCATACGGTACGTTTCGTCCATACGGTACGGTTCACTCATACGGTACAACTCACCCATGCGATACGGTTCGCCCATACGGTACGTTTCGTCCATACCGTGCGCCCGTCGCACGGTACAATTCACCCATACGATACGGTTCGCCCATGCGGTACGTTTCGTCCATACGGTACGGTTCACTCATACGGTACGGTTCGTCGATACGTTACGGTTCTCGCCCAAACGGTACGGTTCACTCAATCGGTACTGTACGCGTTCGCTCGCCGAGCCCGTAGACCAGACCATCTAATCCCCGTTGCCCCCCCCACCACTCGGTGCCTCACTTATTGCCCCCAGGGAGAGGCTTTTCGAGAAGATCAGGAAGGGCAACCTAGCCTACCCCCGATACCTTTCGGGCCACGCTCAAGACATCCTTCATGGGGTAAGTACCATGTCACTGGGGCCGAGGGCAGCGGTTCGCGATGTTTCCCATCATCGCAATCTCTAGTCTTTTTCAGGGATTGAAATGTCAATAACGATTAAACTTTGGTTCCTACGTAACGGTGTCGCGGGTGTACGAAGTAGTACCAGGCGCGGTTCCGGAGTGGTCTCATCAGAGCTTATTGTAGTAGTAGTGCCACGAAAAGGCGTGATACAAGATGGAAGGAAATCACGTGTCAGTGTGATTCAGCTGCCAGCTGCCATCAGCAGCGTTTCCCGAGCTCGAACAGCTCACACACATAGTTTCATGTGTTTTTGACTCGAAGAGCCCGGCGAACCTCGACGAACCTGTATTCAGTCTTGTGCCCTGTCTGTTCACCACCAGCTACGAGTTCGCTGCAGTTTTGTTTGTACCCCCCCCACCCCCCCCCCCCCCGCAGTGAACACGGTGACGACGCTCATTGAGAGCAAGAAG